AGCCACCTCGTGGCAACCTGCTTGCCACCTCATGGCAACTCCCATCTCGTGGAAACCTGTTTGCCACCTCGTGGCGACGGGTTTTCACCCCATTCCACTTCAGCTTCAAATAGTCATAACCTCTTCGTTTCAACTCCATTTTTGGTGATCTTTATATGCACACGAAGGTATTGATAAGCCCCACAACCCTATCTAATTACTTTTGACTTACTATATGTTGAAATAAAACCATAATCCATGAAAGAAGCCTGAAATATTAATTTTCCCATTTTAGCCTTTTGCTTCAAAGCACAATATGATGGATTTAATCACTTAACCAACATTATCAACATCTGATAGGGTCTAAACTTTATTCCCTTGAAGCCCAAGACATTTACTCTATCCATTTATGACCCGCTATCCTAAAATTAGAAACATCCCAAAACTAGGTGTTACAAGAACTAGAGATATGTTCCTCATCTATGGAGATTTGGAAGAAGATCTTACAATAAAGTGTTACACAATGCTTCTTTCCAATCAAATGGGGATGATTGTAAGTCACAATCAGGATATGTCTTGATTATCAATTGAGGTATGGTTTCATGGAAGAGTTCTAAGCATAGTGTTATAGCACAATCCACTACAAAATCAAGAATATATTACCGCTTCAGAAGCTGCAAAGGAAGCTTCTTGGATGAAGAAATGTATTGAAAATCTATGGTTTGTTCCTTTTGTTCAGGAACCTCTAGATATATTGTGACAATGAGGGTGCCATTACGTTAGCCGATGAACCTAATTCATATCAAAGGACCAGGAACATTCACCAAAGGTTCAACTACATTTGTGATCAAGTTGGAAGTGGTAACATTTGTATTTGCAAAGTACACATGGATCAAAACTTGGAAGACCCATTTATGAAGCCCCTTCTACAAGGAAAACAGTAAGATCATGTTAGAGGATAGGACTTCATTATTCTAGTGATTGGATTTGATCTTGGTTTAGGATTGAATATTGTAACATTACTAGCAACAAATATTGTAATGATTGTGATATATATGGAATATGATCTTTTCATCATATACTTGTTTTGTTTTATATTGACATGTTTAATCCTTGAATAATTTAGTTATTATAATATTCATAGTCGATCTTTTGGAACAACAATGAAGCAAGACTAATATGAATTGGATTGACTGGAAAAGTGTTGTAACCAAGTTCATAGATATTTGCTAGAGAGAAAATATTAGATTTGAATCGTTCAAGATCATTGCATGGATCGATATCATGAGTGATACTTGATAAAGGTAATATATTTGTATCCTTAATACATAAGATGCATATTTAGGGCTTAAGTATGGGAAATGTTATGCTTTGATAGTTAAAAGTTGTTCTTTGACCATGCGGTTATAAAGGTCATTATTGGGTATAGCACGAACAAGAGGTGTATGTAGTTAAGATGGGATTTATTCATCTTATGTATTAGGAGTTAGACATCTAAGGTGACTTATCCAAAGTTAAACACTAAATAAGTATGATATATATCTCATGTTCAATATGATGTATGGGACAAAGAGATGACTGATACCTTATACACCAATTGAAGCTTTTAGCTCTTAGGGAATTGGATAATGTTGAATGGCACTTCGTCGTATGCTATTGGGGGTAGTGAAATGTTGCTAGACGTTCACCACTGTCTATATCAATCTATGATGAGTCATGTGCAAGTGGAGATTGAAAGATCTTTACAATCAAGAATCATATTAGAATGATATTACTAATAATATATGATCCTAAAGGGTCACACTAAAAACAACTTGATGCAAATAGATTATTTATAAGAATTGGATTCTTAGTAAGTATTCATAACTCTTATAATTAATTAGACATTATTTATTTTGTGATATGATTTTCAGTGTAAAGTAACATAACATATCATAAGGTATGATTTATTAAGTCATGTACATCTTTTTGGACTAGAAAGACTTTTGTATTTTAGCTAAATGGATAAAAGTTTATATATTATAAAATGTTATAAAAAAATTTATAAACTTTTCTTTTCTTCCTCCCTTAAGGTCGTAGATATGTCTAGAGGTATGTCATTAAAATATAATTAAGAGGTATGGCTTGTCTTAAAGTCTTAAGACATAATGGGTAAAGAAATGGACTTATGAAGGCTTGCACTCTTTTTTTCTCTTTAGAAAAAGTCATAGATATACATGTTCTATCTCTCATTTCTTGCTCGCTTGTTAAGGCTTGAAAAGGTGTTACTTACATGTGCTCTTTAAGACACAGCTCTATTTGTGTTAAAGCTTAAGAGTTAGAACTATCATTCTAACAAGTTGGAAATTGTTGGTGTTAAGCTTTGGAGGAACTCTTCTTTGTGTTCTACATTCTTCATCAACTTCCAAACCTCCCCTTGAGGACTCAAAGTCAACAAAGGTTGTTAATATTTTCTCCTATATGGTTGTGTTAATCTTTCTTTTGCTTGCTAGATGATCCTCAATGGGTATAAACTTGTTTATGTTGTTCAAAATTCAAAACGCTTCCATTAGTATCTTTGAGTTTTTTTTAAAACTAGTTTTGAATAAAAACCCAACAAGAAAATAAATATAATCACATGTGATTAAATACATGAGATCGAATACTGAATCAAAAATGCAAAAATGAATATTGTCCACATAAATCATATGTGACTCAATAATTGGGTGTCGTTTGTTTTTTCGAAGCGAAAATGTCTGAAGTCTGCGGACCACCTCTGCAGCCCTCTGTAACGGAAGAGGGAGACCAAATGGCTGCAACATGTAATAAAAAGTTTGTTTGTTTTTTAAGCTCTACAAACTGCTGCAATAAGTTAAAGTAAGGTGTGAAGAGGTTTGAAGCAGAGGGTCAAGCGTTGCGCCACGCAGCACACACGCAACAGTTTTAAGTCAGAAGTCTTTTGAAAAACAAACAACTGCAGCAATAAGTGGTCAGAAATGGTTTTTTAGAAAAAAAAAACAGCACCTTATAATCACATATGATTAAATACATGAGAATAACTGTTAATTCGAAAAACGCAAAAACGAATATTTTCCACATAAATCATATATGATTAAATACATATAATCACATGTGGTTAAATATACGAAAACAACTATTGGATTAAGAATATGAAAATGAATATTGTCTATATAACTCATATGTGATTAGATACATATACTCACATGTGATTAAATACACGAGAATAACTATTGTATCGAGAACGCGAAAACGAATCTTGTCCACATAAAAACATATGTGATTATATATATATATATATATATATATATATATATATATATATATATATATATAATATATATATATATATATATATATTATATATAATCACATCTAATTAAATACACAAGAAAAGTTATTGAATTGAGAACGTGAAAAAGAATCTTGTCCATATAAATCATATGTGATTAAATACATATAATCACATGTGATTAGGGTTGTACGCGAAACGAACGAACACGAACAAGGGCTTGTTCATGTTCGTTCGTTTAAGTTATTCGAACAAACAAACAAACATAAACGGATAAACGAACGAGTTTTCTTGTTCATGTTCGTTCGTTTAACAAATTATCTTGTTCATGTTCGTTCGTTTATGTTCGTGAACATGCTAAATGAACATAAATGAACAAAGATAAACAAACACAATTGAAAATATATGAACATAAACAAACATAAAATATAGTAATGTAATAAAAAATTGAACATCTATGAACATAAATAAATTTAAAACGAATGGACATAAACAAACGTAAACGAACAACATAAAGGAACGTTCACAAACATAAATGTACGAACGAGACTATTGTTCATGTTCGTTCGTTTAACTAAACGAACGAGAATTTGTATTCATGTTTGTTCATTTATTAAATAAACGAACATAAACGAACTCCCCCCGAACTGTTTGTTGAACGTTAGGTTCGTTTACAACCCTACATGTGATTAAATAAACAATACCAACTATTGAATTGAAAATGTGAGAATGAATCTTATCCACATAAATCATATACGATTAAATACATATATGTGATTAAATACACGAGAACAACTACTAAATCGAGAACGCAAAAACAAATTTTGTATGGAATTAAATACATATAATCATATGTGATTAAATACACAAGAACTATTGAATCGAGAAAACAATAACGAATCATGTTCATATACATCATATGTATGTGGTTGTGGTAGGTTGTGGGTGGGTGATGGGTTGTGGTATGTAGTAGTGGGCAGTGGGCGGTTGTCGGTGGTTGATGGTGGTCGATGGTGATAGGTGGTAATGGGTGGTGGGTGGTGGTCGGTAGTGATGGGTGGTGGGTTGTAGGTGGTGGAGGGTCGTGGGTGGGTGGTGTTGGTTGGTGGGTTTTTTAATTGTTTTTTTATTTATATAAATTTCTTTTATGATTTTAATTAAATAAAAAATAAGTTGCCCAAATTGGTTTTCACGTTCTCAAATTCGATAATTGTTCTCATTTTAACCTCCCTCATATATAGGGTTTGGATCCGTTGAGAACTTAAATATTCGTGAAAACCCAAAAACTTTTTCCAAACCCATATTTCCAATTTTTTAACCAGTTTTTACGGGCTTAATTTGTTAAAAAAAATTTCAAAATAAATGTCTTTTTCATAAAGGTGCATACATGCAAATTTCTGATGTGCAGATGCATATCAAACATATATATATATATATATATATATATATATATATATATATATATATATATATATATATATATATATATTTGTTTTTTTTTTTTTTTTGTTGAAATATATTTTTTTGGAATTTTTTTCAAAAATGCTTAAAAGCTAGCGACTAAGCCCCCAAAAAAAACTGAAAAAAAAAATCACATAAAAAATTTCTAATCTTATCCTAACTCATATTCAACTTAAGTGAGAATTTCAAAATGGTTGACGTGACGTCACCATGGCGAGCCTTTTAGGACACATTTTAATGGATGTCTTTTTTTCAATTATGACTTCTCTGATCTGTGTAAGTGAAGAATGTGAATACAAATCATAGTTTACACCTCAAAACATGTTAATTACTGAGGTTCACAGAGTTTGATTAATCATTTTCATTAACAAAGTAAACTCCATTATTTCCCGAGCTGTAAACATGACCCATCTTGGTTCGCTTGGTCTCAAGATATCTCTTGTTGTGTTCTGTGATCAAAGTCATAATGGGAACTCTTCCTGCAACTTCCAAACCGTAGCCTTTGAGCCCAATGTATTTAGCCGGATTATTCGTCATCAGCTTCATCTTTCTGACACCAAGATCTCTTAAAATCTGCATATGGTTCAACCCAAATCAAGATTACAATCCAATTGGATATTTCAAATATGGTGAGCCTACCTGTGCACCAATGCCATATTCCCTTGAATCAACGGGCAAACCGAGCTCCTCGTTGGCTTCCACGGTGTCACGCCCATCATCTTGGAGGTTATAAGCACGAAGCTTGTGGCCTAAACCAATGCCTCGACCCTCATGACCTCTAAGGTATACCAATACACCCCTCCCAGCATCTTCAATTTGTTGCATTGAAAGTGCGAGTTGATTCCCACAATCACATCTAGCAGACCCGAATATATCTCCCGTTAAGCATTCTGAGTGTACCCTCACAAGTATATCGTCCCCATCCCCGATTTCACCCTGTTTCAACACGTAAAAAATCGCTCATCGTTTTTTCGCAAGTTGGTTACACGGGACATGACACACAAACATGAAAGCCTTATACTGTGTTTGGCATGCATTAGACTGGGACTATAAGACTGATGTCAATGAGACAAAAATTGTAATTTTTTATCTCATTCAAAAGGCGGGACAAAAAATCGTTTTTAGGTACTTGTCTGTTGAAAAGACGTGAATGCCCTCATCATACTCATCATCAAGAATAGCCTTAGAAAGCTTGTTTGGTCCCCTCTAATCCAGTCTTGTGTAACAAACATAGCCTTAACGTTGTGTCTGTGACCGAATTGGACTGGACAAGCTTTCTAGGGAATTTTTTGATGAGGATGATGAGGAAGGTATTCACGTCTTTTCAACAGACAAGCACCTAAAAACGATTTTTTGTCTCACCTTTTGAATGAGACGCATTTACATTAGTCTTATAATCCGATTTTTTGTCTCACCTTTTGAATGAGACGCATTTACATTAGTCTTATAATCCGAGTCCAATGCATTGTTAAACAGTCGTAACAATTTGGTTTTCAACCCTAACAAATTTCCCTCAAAAGTAAAACAAATTTTGCTCACCTTGACCATGGCGATATGTTCCATCCCATCCAAGACCGACCTATAACAGTAAGCAACAAACGGTCCCCATGTAGTAGGGATCCGTGCAGCAGAAGCTTGTTCCACTAATTTATCGGTTTTCCTCCTATACCTACCAATTTAAACAAAATATCAAAAATACCCTTTTTTTTCAAACATACAATTCCAAGATAACAACAATCGAATCACCTACCTGATAAGATCAGCAATAGAAATGATCTTCAGGTTCTCTTTTTCAACAAATTTCCTAAGCTTTGGTAATCTAGCCATTGAACCATCATCATCCACCACCTCACATAAAACCGCCACAGGGTCAAACCCCGCTAGCATGGCTAAGTCAACCGAAGCTTCGGTGTGACCAGCTCTTTTCAAAACACCTCCTTCTCTGTATTTTAATGGAAAGATATGACCTGGCCTATTGAAATCTTCTGGTTTTGACTCTTTTGAAGCTAGAGCTTTTATTGTTGTTGCCCTATCATGAGCCGATACCCCTGTGGTTGTACCATGTTTTGCATCCTATAAATTAGTATTAGAAAAATATCAAAACATATAACTCAAAAATATAGCTATATTTAGGTAGATTTTGAAATATGAATTAATTGAACAAGATTACATACCACTGAGACTGTGAATGCTGTGCAAAGCTTTTCTTCATTATGAGTTACCATTAAAGGAAGTTGCAATCTTTCAAGATCTTCGGCTTTCATGCTTACACAAACAATCCCAGTTCCATGCTTAACAAAGAAAGCCATAGCCTCGGGTGTCACACTTGATGCTGCCATTATTAGATCCCCTTCGTTTTCCCTATCTTCATCATCTACAACCACCACCATCTGTGACATAAACCAAAGGGTTTAATGCACTTTAATTTAACTTTTCATTACATCATTGTACTTTCATTTTTTTCCTATGAGTTACCATGCATTAAAGGAAGTTGCAACATTGTACTTTGAAAAAATACTCGGTTATAAAAATAACCCTTTTGCAGAAATAATAAACGGATGTGGAACTACTCATTTAGTTTTTTCACAAAGTAAAAACTCGAGGAGAAAAGGAAAATAAAGGTTTAAAAACAACCTTTCCTTGGCGAATATCTTCAATGGCTTCTTGAATGGATGAGAAGCCAGGAGTGGGAAAATCAAGATCGTATCCATCTGCATCATGTGGGAAAGAATTCATGCCAGGAATGGTTTCTGCTTCTAATGTCCCCAATGCTATTGAATCAGATTGTAATTCAATTCCAGATGACAAGCTAACAGCAGTTTTCCACAAATCTACAGGAGAAGCTTTGAAGCTACCATCGGATTTACTTATGGAGCACAATTTTTTACCAAGAAACGCGTCTGTTACATGGGTGTTGCATGAAAAAGGATTTAGAGAGTAAAGAGCATTAAATGAGCTGAAGTTTGGATTCATCCTACAAAACAAAAGTTATAATCAATATTTATATTTATACTTGCAATCTTGACATGTTTTCATGAAAGGAAAGAACAAAAGAGAAGGTACAAAATATGATTAAGATGGAGTATGTAAACAGCAGTAAACTTAGTATGAGAAAAAGCTCTTCTCCATTGCTATAAACATAGGAATCAATGAAGAATACGTACAATCCCTGATAATTACTTACATGAAGTTTCTCAAACCATAAGATCATAGAATATTATAGCCTTTTATATATGGAAGGTCCAATTCTAAACTTTAAAATATGATACAAAACAAACCGAATACATCACCAATCCACAGAAGCATGAAATTCTTTAGTAGATAGGTAAAATATAAAACATGGAAATACCCATGTTTTGAGCTCAAAGAAATCACAAAGTGATGTCAAAGAATTCAAAATCGAGGAGAAACATCTCAAGCCAACATGAATTCAGAAAAACCCAAGAAGCGCGATCGTATTATCATGGAAAGGGCCCTAGTTTGTTTCTGAATAGAAACACGCATTTATCAGAAGAAATTGAGGAAAATAACAAGGGAAGAAAGCTTTACTTGGAGCGTAGTAGTTGTGAGGAAGACGAAGCCATGTTAATGGAAGCCATTGATTTGAAACTGGGTCGATGTATCTTTAGATTGGTACAGGAAATGGGATTTTGGTTGATTTGAATCTTGAAAGAAAACCCAGATTGCTGACAGTTAAATACATGGGAAATCACATACGAATATGGGGGGAGTGGCGTGGCAGAAGATAGAGGAATTAACTAATAACGAAATTATGTGGAAAGTCGGAAGGAATTTGGTAGGTGATTTTCCTACATCACCAACCAATCCCAACAGTGAAAAAGATAAAATGTTTTTTTAACATCAAATTTAATCTACTGCTTATTTAACTCTTAGTTTTATATATTTTTCAAGTAGGATCTAAGTCTTCGACCTCAAACGAAATTAAGGAGGTAAACATCATGATATCGATGGGCCAGACATTATTTTTTATCTTTTACTTGTTATTTTAGCCTCCAAATCGGTTATCAATAGATAAATTGAGCTTTTTTTAAATAAACTCAACTTTAGTATATTTATTGTTATGTCATTAATGTAGTCGGTTACCAACTGTTCTAACTCAGGTACACCCTAAGATCAATCACCTAAAAAGATAACTGATTCTAAAATCATATGTCAGTTTCTGCTAAAGGTGTTCATCGGTTCAAATCCAATGAATTTCGATGGAACCGATCCAATCCAATCATCCATTAGATGTTGGATTTTTCACCAATCCAATCTAATTCGGTATAAAAAACTGAATCGAACCGATCTAATTGATATTGGATTGGATCAGCTTTATCCATCAGATATTTTGATTGATTTAATTCATTGGTTATCTATTACTAGATATAAAACTCATGTATTACATGGGTTAATTAAAAAAATTAAATATAAAGGTGTAAATATTTAACAGCTTTTGATTTATAAAAAAAATATAAAAAATAATAGTTATTAAAATTGATTTTTGTTATCTTTTAAATTTAAATAAATAAACAAAATAAACTAATGAGCTTTAAATTGGGAAATATTGAAATAAGAAGGTAAGTTCATTAATAAAAATGATATTAATTTATTACTATATTTATTGTAATTATTACATTAAAGTATTATGTAGAATTTTTTAAAATAGAAAAAACTCATAAAAAAATATGTGGAAAAAAATTATTTCAAAATAACCACAAAATGAAACTTGTCAAATTGAATGAGTGTGACATGTGACAAAAAAACCTTCATTTATTAGAGCAGATTCAACCAATTCTAATACATTTCTATCGAATAACCACATATAACTATGATAACTAAAAATAAAACCGCACACAATTACGCTAAATAAGACTAACAAATTTACATTAACTTTAAGTCTTCAACTTATTTTTATTGAATAATTAATAATACTAATTGGATTCGGGTTATAATATTGGATATTTATTTGACTAGAATTGGATATCCAATTTAATCGGATTGGTTCGGTTATCCATTGGATTTTCAGGATGATCCAATAAGCGATCTAATCCAATTGCATTTTGAAATTTGACATCCGATCTGATCCAACTGTAATTGGATATACAATCCAATTGGTCGGTTCCAATTGGATTGGTTAATTTTTGCACACTAGTTTCTGCTTCTTCTTCTCCTCCTCCTTGTACAACATATTAGGTCCCTTAAAATGACTTATTCTTCAAGATACGAACATAAACTTAGTAAGAAATGTTGAAATGGAATTTTGCTATTGTGATAATGAAGCTCATTTATTTACCTCATGTGCCACAACTTTCTTCACAAGATTAAGTCTTTTTTCAAATGTCTTCCGACGACTATTTTTATAAGGTTTGATAGTATGTTTATTTTAACAGTATATTAGGACAATATTGTAAGTAAGTTGTTGTTTTTGTAACGCTTTTTACATATTTGTTTATGCATATAAGGTTATAATAACATATTAAACTTCTTTTTTTGTTGATATCATTTTAAAAAAAGTTGAAGTGTATTTTTACAAATAGTTAAACATAATCTGCTACAAGTTATGTCTTATATTATACATACACAAAATCCTTTAACATCATGCAAGGAATTGAATTCTTGCATATAATAACATAATCATCTATCTCTCTCTCTTCTCTCTCTCTCTCTCTCTCTCTCTCTCTCTCTCTATATATATATATATATATATATATATATATATATATATATATATATATATATAACATATGAACCTACCTCTCTCTCTCTATATATATATATATATATATAATACTAACTTGGAAACACGTGCACTTACGATGCATCGTGCGGGTGTAAAACCTAGTTTATGAACATTTTATTGAGACAATTTAATTTAAATATATTCTTTTGTTTATGACTATGAAAAATATATACAAGCCCCTGTGGTAGAAGCCTAGTGGTTGAGGAGTAAAATTCGACAAAAGAGGTCCATATTTCAAACTCTAGCACACCTAAAATATTACTAGTTGATGAGACTAAAACTCTTTAAGATCGATAAGATTTTTAACAAGCAGCACAAGAACACAAAGTATATAAGAACACAAGATGAATCAAACTGATGTCGAATGATTAATAAGCCACAACCTAAGAAGAACTCTATTAAGAATTGCTACTGTAGAGGTGTGGTAGGGTTACAATAATGATATCAGCGACTAACTCATACACGGTGTATGCATGCACTATATATAGATACTATAACCCTAATAAATGACGGCTGGACATACCCAAAACCGTATACAAAAAGGACTAAAATAACAAGCCCAATGACGCAATCTTCTATACCCAACAATCTCCCCCTTTGCGTCAATTGAGGCGAGACAAATCTACTGATGTGCTTGTTTTGTCTTTTTCACTGTCTTGAACAGCTTCGGTATGATAGTCAGTAGAGTATGACGAAAAAGAATATCCCAGCGAAGCATGTCGTTAAAATTCTTTTTAGCAGCATCGTCATTTTGTTTGCACCTGTTTATAATAGTCAAGATATGCTCCAAACAAGTGGTAGAGAACATGTGTTTGTCGGGTAAGGCGAACAGACACTTTTGGTTTTCTCCACGAGTAAACATCACTGTGAGATATTCCGTGTCTATTTTGCCCAATTGCATCTTGTTCACGTCGATTGCTTTACCAATAGGTTTGACAGTTGGCTTCTTTCTCAAAGCAGAGGCGATCTCCTGATCCAGCTTCGCGACTTCATGTATGTATGAGACCAACATTCGCTTTATGTGAGCAAGAATAGGGTCATACTTCTGTTCTTCGGTTAACAGAAAATGTGTGAGCAAGATCCAATCGTGGGGGTTAAGGTTCGGAAGATCAGCAAGAGAGATCTCATGAAACGATTTTTTAGAACCTCGAATCACCTGAAACCTCACATTAATAAAGCTTCCTGCAGCGACTGGCTTTAGAACTTTGACCGATGTAATCTTCTGTGCACTCCAGGTCAAGTATTGAGGTTGAGAAAAAGCAAGATAGTAATCAATTAAAGAACGATCAGTTTTCGCGTCAGGAAAGGGAATTGATGTTGACGGCTCGAATCTGTGAAAAACAAATGCCCTTTGGGTGATTGGCATATCAAACTGTGAGTCTTTAGAATTCTCCAAGTCAAAAGAAATGACTGGCTCAAGCCAATGAGTGCTTGGAGACTCAATTACTTCTTTCAGTAACTTTTTCAATGTCTACAAAGGAAAGAGAGTTTTTCTGCTTTCCAACATGGCATGGACTTCTTTCTCTTTTCGTTCCCTCTCTTCGGCTTCCCGTGTAATTTTGAGATTTTCATCTAGAGTTCGATCACGTTGCTTTTGCTTTAACAACTCTTCTTCAATTTCTTCTTCTTCTTCACTTTCGCCGATGATTTTCTTTCCTTTGGAACTCGAAGCTGCATTGCCCTTCGGTTCATTGGTGACTTTTGGTTTCGAAGGAGTCTGAGTTGTTTCGGTTGTTAGAGGTTGAGTAGTAGGAGGTTGAGTTACTTCTCCCCCTTGTTTCGGAGGAGAACCCGCCTCGGAAACACCCTCAAGGCGATGCAGGATCTCAAGTACTGGACGAAGTTTTTCTGCTAAGTGTCGGCGAACACTGATGGTAAGGATTGAGTCATGAGCATCAAGCAGATTGGTGAGTAGGAGACTGACATCACCCACACATGTCTTCATGATTGTCTTTTCAGACTGGAGCTCATTAAGAACCTTGTTCGCTTGGTTAAGTTTTAGAGTCTGAGTTTTGAGCTGAGTAGTGCGAAGAATCAGTTCGTCCGTGATTTTGTTTTCCACGGCTAACTCAGTCTGGAGTTGATCAAGACGAGAATTGACTGAAGAGTGGAGTGTAGTATTATCAGCTTTAATCCCTGTACGAATTCTTTCAAAATGCTCCTTCTCAAACTGGAGCGAAGTGGTGAGTTTCTCAATAGTAGCGTTCACCGTATTAGCATTCTTTTCGGCAGCCGCCTGGAGAGATTCCAAAAATAATCGAGCCTCTGAGATTAGTTTTTCGACATTTTCGGTCGCTTCCTTACAAGAGGTTGTAGAAGCTTCCACAGATTTGGTGGCCTTATCAATCGATTCCTGATGCTCTTTGACCAGTGTAGAGAACAGTGCATTGACCTCTGCTTCAGAGTATTCAGTGGTAGAAGAGGAAGATGCAGAGGCAAGCAAAGTTTCGAGCTTCTCATTCAGGGCTTTAAGATGTCGTTTAGTGACTGGGGCATCATCATCACTGTCACTTTGAACAGTAAAGGGGCTATAGTGGAATGTGTCAAACTCCACATCGTTTCCACCAAGAATGGTGTCAGACTCGTCGGAGTGAAGTAGGGAAAGTGGTTTAGAAGTAATAGGGATTTCAAAACCAGAGGTTTGTGCCCCCGCATCAGATGCGTTGACATGAACCGGTGGTTCAGTTGTAGTGGTAGTGGTGGTGGTAGTTGTTTCGGTGAAGATGGGTGGTGGTAATGGTGTAGAAGTGGGTGGTTGAGATGAAACTAGAGGTGGGCAAGGAGCTATCGAAATAGGAATAGAAGAACGAGGTGGAGATTGAATGGGTTCAGAAACATGTACCTCACGATTTGGTGAAGGTGGAGGCGAATCACCTCGACGTGAAGGTGGAGATTGAATGGGTTCAGAAACATGGGTTCAGATGATCTTCGTTGTCACTTGACTCTGCTACTGGGTGATCCG